TCTATCCACATTTGTTCCTTCCATGGCTTTGCTACTTATTTTGCATTTGCCTCTCTGTGCTGTGAGGGGACAATGGAGTGACATCACCATTTCTGCGCCTGCTGCTTTTGTTAGATCTCCCAGACACAATGCTTGGAATTAGCATTCCAAGAGTTAGAGTGTTGGGACCACACATCCTGAGCTGCCTGCATGCATGGAACAGGCATAGAATTAAGGAGTCAGGACGGGTGTCAGTGCTGAGAGGGATGCTGTTGTGTGGCTTCTTGTATGTTCCTTGATTCTACCAGCAACCCAAAATTTGTACCACCCTATGTAAAATACTGAAAAATTCCATGATGAAAATTTAAAGTACTGGACACAATACAAAAAGTGGTTCATGTTTCCTGAATGTTTACTAAGACCCTGAAGATTTTTTTCTAAAAATGACACGAAAGCTGCATTAATCTTGGGTTTAGTACATCTGTGCAGCCTGTGTTTCTAGAACTGAGATTCTGCATCAATGCCTAACGAGGGCATTGGAATGAGCAAGTCTGTGCCTTTTTGGTGGCCACAGTGCAGGATGCTCAGAAGGCAGTGAGACCATGAACTGTTTGTTCAGTTGGCATGTGCCTGCCCTTGCCAGTCTTAGGATTCCCTGCATTTCATCTCCAAAGATTGCCATACATTGTGTGGCTGGGGATGAGTCAACTGAGGGAGGAGTTGGTTATCTGTGAAGCTGACTTTCACTGTGTAGCCTGTAATCTCTCCCAGCCTGTGGCTTCACACTCTCCTTGTTCTTTCTCACTGTCTGCTTGAGTCTTCCTCTCTTGTGAGGGTGAAGGAATCTCTCCTCTTAGCTGTGCCATATGGGAATCAGTGAGGACCTGCCTTGCTCATGTTCTCTGTGTCAGATTCTTCAGATCATGCCACACAGAGACAAGACTTTGCTCTCTTCTTTTGTATCTCAGTTACAAAAGTGTTTGGCTGTCCTTGTTTGTGCAGGTCTAACAGCCTTCATGTGCTGTCACACCCCAGAATGGCAGGTGCTTCAATTTCACCTAGGCCATATGGATCCTGATTGATAAATATTCAGGAGTTGGACTCCAGTGCACTGAATGTACCTCGCTCCAACTTCTGGAGCTCGGCTATAAGCCAGACTCATTGAATCCATGTTGGGCATTAGATTTGATATTTACTTAGTGTGACTGCAGCAGCCTGGTGATGAAGTTGAATTCATTAGGTTCGCATAGCTCTCAGATTGAGGTAACTGGGGTGAAGTAGTGAGTAATGAGATAGTCTTTAATCAAGATTCTTGAATACCTACCAAATCATTGCTGAGTAACCTGTAGATTTTCCTCATCCTTCCCCAAATCCCCACACTCTTTCTCAGTGTCTCACTGTCTCCCCTTGCCATGGGACAACCAATGTGCCTATGGCTCTGTGTTCTTGCCTGTGATGGACACTTGGCGTGAAGTGACACAAAATGAGAGCTTACATGCTTTCTCTATGTTCAGTTTGCAGCAACATTTGGTGTGTTTTTCTCAAATATCTTCCTATCTATGTGTGCTTCTGTGTAAGAAACGGTGGTTGACTCAAAGAATAACTTTGCAGTTAAACAAGTTAATCTCTGCCAACTTAGCCTTTAGGAAAAAAGAGTGAAGGTGGTGAGCCTCCAGTTGTTAGCAAGAGCTAAAAATATCCCCAGGACAAAGAAATGTGCAATTCACAACAAATAGTGCAAATTAGTAGGACCACATGATGAAAAGGATATAGTATTTCAATAACTTAGATTTATAATTCCATTAATGAAGTTGAAGCTATGGATGGGTTGAATTTCAAGGCAAGATGGTATTTTCTTCAGGGAATCCTTTACAGAATCTGAAAAGCTAATGTGTTTAAGTGTGTATAGAATACTACCATTTACCTAGAGCATACGACGGCATTTCAGATTGCAAATGTATAAATGTAAGATATTGTGTGACAGGATCATGAAATGCTGCTTCACTAAATGCAAAACGCTGTCAATTAGAGATTCTATCATCTCTAAGTGTGGACAAAAAGGCAGAAAAAATCTTGAATATTGAGACTGCCTAGATTCCTGCCTAGTGTCCAATTATGCTACTTCCGTATGCTGGTTACCACTTCTGTTTCATGTTGACACCTGATAGATTCTAAATGATGTGCCCAGCATGCTGAAGTATCCTGTGGAAGGAGAACTTTGTCATAAGATGCCACCCAAAACCTTTAGAGCTGGGGATATGTAGTCCTCATATTGTTCCATTTTGGAAAAGATTGGTTGTGAAGGTGTAAAGGCTTGTTTTAAAAGACACATTTATGGGCCACAATCCCCGCCGCTATGTTGGGGCAGAGGCCTCGGCCTTCTCCTGGCCCAGGAGCACCTAAATCCCCTCATGGGTGAGTACCCGTAAGAGATTACTGGGAGCTGGGGTATATTCCTTGTTCTGCCCTGGCTCCGGAAGCCAAATGCTGGTGGCAGGACAGGTCGGGTGGGTCCCAGTCTCAGGGCAAGTGTCAGGCTTAATCCCACCCCCCAAAGGTGGCACTTGTCAGGGGCACTCCTGCCGGACAGAACCCCTTTGGGGTCTCGGCCATATTTCCCGCAGCAAGGTAGGGGCAGAGGCCTTGGCCTTGGGCGGCCAGGGCACCAAGTGGTGCCAGTCTCTGCCTTCTATCTGCCCAGCGGCAAGCTCTTGGGTTTTTATGATATGAAAAACCTGCTAAGGGACACCCATAAATAAGACCAGCATTAGTGTAGGTGAGGCACGGATTTCTGGTGATTCCCAGGAACAGGGACATGAAACCTTAATGCAAGTATGGGACTGAGACCTGAAGGTTTGGACTAAGCAAACTTTAGCCCACAAGCATGATGGAACACAGGGTGGAGCTCAGGACATGCCCAGCTAGGTTTTGGTTCCAACTGGTCCACATTAACCACAGAGTTGAGCCATGGTGTCTAAGGCAGGAGTTTTGACAGGTGGAAGGGGCTGCGGTTGGGTCTGGATACAGTTGTTGTCTCCCTTGGCACAAGTGTGGACTGGAACAAGACATACTGGGCCGGGCCAGACCACAACACCTTCTGGTGCTTTGGAGGACCAGGGTAGATGTGGGACAGACTAGGCTAGGTCTCAACCCCAACTGAGACATATACAAGTTATATGGGGTTTGGACGAGCCATGGCTGGGCTGAAACATCCTACAGCAAGAACCAGAATGGGATGAAGGCCAGTTAGGAAAGGCCACTGTTCCTGCTAGGACAGGAGGCAAACTGTCACTTGGACCCATTGGTATGCACGAAACCTGGCACTTGGACGGGTTCTGATGGAGGAGCCCAGGAAACTCCTCTGGCAGGACACAGACCCTGCAGGTCAGCGCAAGAAATATGGAAGGTAACAGCCAGGAGGTCATGGAAAGTGTCCCAGTGGCATGCATTTGACATGGTTCGGGGGCAGACCAGGCTGAATCTGTTCACGTCATCCACTGGTAAATCCGAATGCCAAAACAGAGTATGGGTCGAACCAGGTCCGGGTTGTGACAAAAGCAATACACAATTTGGAATGCCAAGGTGAAGTATCATGAGCCGAATGCAGCCACAGCGCCCAACCAACACACGGGTCTTAGGGTGGGTGGGAAACTGGATGGGGCTTCTTCCTCTATATCCCCCCTTTACCTAAGATACATGAAGGAAGTGGTATGAAATTGATGGTCTTGCCCACTTCCCTTTAGCCCTTGAAGCTTTTTTACCCTAATAAAATATGTAAAGATTGTCAAATATAATAAAAATATATATCTGTTTAGAAAAAGATACATTTATGTGTCCACTTGAAACCCCAAACAAGGGAAAAGTGAGAGCAGGGACTAGGCATATATAAGAGCAATCAAGGGTCTTTGATCCACTGTTTCAAAACCCACAGTCACACAGCAGGTAGGTCTGATCCAGGCACAGCCATGAGGCATGTGTCACTTGAGTTGTCCAATATGGCAGCAAAATCCTAGTTCTTAGGTCATACTTGACTATCTTGATGGACATATTAGCAGGAAACTAGATCAGAAGCTGATTAGCCTGGATTGGAATGGCTGCTCTGACATGGAATACTAGCATGGAAATCATCACATTAACTCACAAGCCCATGGCAGTGTTGAGATTATATTGGAGCAATTTGTATTCTTGATTGCAATGGCAGATTTTCTCAGCCTTTTCAATGACCATGGCACATAATCATGCATTCAGACATATTTCCGTCCATGTTTATTTGAGGAGAGAGGCAAACAAAGAGCACCCATCTTCTGCTGTACACACATGCATGACAGATGTGTAGAGCCAGGAACTCATTCCAGTGACCACCATGACTCACTTAATTAAGTCACCATTACTGCCTTCCCAGACTTACCTAGCATCTCAGAAAGATGTCACCAGGGACCCCCAACCTGAGTCAGAATCAAGACGTGTGCCTTTCAGACATAGGCTACCTTGTCATCACAAGGAAATTTGCATGGGAAAATTTCTCTGTCCCCAATCAAATTGGGTTTAATGAGGATATTTGAACAGATACAATAATTTCTATCACTGATCAGTTACCTCCAAATAACAGGAGTTAATACAGTAGAGATTTCTATCTGAACTATAGTCGATTCCAAGAGTGGCTGCTCTGTTCTATCAATGACAATCCATTAGGAGATGGGAAGCAGAAGGATCATGGTCCCAGCACAGGTCACAGACAAGAAACAGGAATGGATGTACTTTCTTTAAAGCTATGAATGTAACTTCTATGTATTGTCTGGAAGCAATGATCACCTGAACCATGGTCTTGTCTGTGACCAGGAGAGTAGCAAGTTTCATCTCTACTGCACACTTCCTCTTCAATAAAAAAAAAAAAAAGTGAATGATTCAAGTCCACCCTGGGATAACTGTGTTCATTCAAGTATATTTCGCATACTCAAGAATCACATGGGTTGATTTTGATTTTTTTCTTTTTTCAGTTGACCTATGGCCCTTTTGATCCCATGCTAAATGAGAAGAAGCAGTTCCCATCCCTCTATCAGATGGCCAGCAGTGACAGCTCTCTGGGCATTGCAATGCTGTCACTGCTGCTGCATTTTGGCTGGACATGGGTGGCGCTCTTTGTGTCTGATGACATGAAAGGAGAGCAGTTCCTGCAGGACATCCAAGCAGAGATGCTGAAGAGAGGAGTCTGTGTGGCCCTGACAGTGAAGCTCCCTGTCACCAAGAGGCTGTATCAAGAGAGTGATCTGACTTTCATGAGCAGGATCCAAGCTTCAACTGCAAACGTGCACATCCTCTATGGTGATGTAAGGGCCCTCATTACTGTGGACATTTCAGTGGAATTCTTTCTAACCATGGGGAAGGTGTGGGTGATGGCATCCAAGTGGGACATCGTTGTGTATGAGACAGACCACATGCTGCACTCTTTGCATGGAGGCTTCTCATTTTCCCCCCACAGAGAGGAGATCCCTGGCCTCAACAATTTTCTCAAGACAGTGGAGCCTTCTCTCTTCCCAGAGGACTTTTACTTCAATAAATTATGGCTCTTGCATCTGGACTGCTCACCAGCAGGGTCATTTTATGGACGCATTGGAAACTGCTCACCAAATGCATCCTTGGAGTTTCTTCCACCATACATTGACCTGATGACCCTCTCTGACTCCAGCTATTTAGTCTACAATGCTGTGTATGCAGTGGCCCATGTACTCCACGCTATTCTGATGGAGAAAATGGAGCTGGGATCTCTGGGAGAAGCAGCCCAGCCAATGATTCTTCCCTGGCAGGTAACCCTCCCTCAGATCAACTTAGATATTGACCACTTGATGTACTCAGCTGGTGTTCCTTTGGAATACAACACCATGACACATCTTTTACATCAAAGTCAGCAATATCAGGTATAAGAAAGATGGGATCATTTCATGAGTTGCATTTCCATCTGTTGTTGTCTGCTATGGCTGGAGATCCCATTCATTGCAGATCTTGTGTATTAACTTTGTAATTAGAAAATTATTTAAAATGTTCTAGTGTAGGATGCAGTGCTACCAAAGATCCAGTGAAATATGGGATGAAGTTTGAAAGAAAAAAATAATTGTCACACCAAAGCCAAGCATTGCTTTATCAAAGTTAAAATATAGAGAGATGTTGGCCAAACATTTTTTCCTTTCCTTAAAATTTTTCTTTATCATATTGAAAATTCTGATATTTGTGACTGATTAATCATACGCAGGTATTCTATACATACATATATATGAATGTTCCTGGAAACTTGCACATTCATATCATAATGAGTGAAATTGCAGATAATGTTCTTATTAAGGGGAAGTAGGGTAATGTCATTTATAAGGCAGGCACAGTGGCTCAATACATTACCTGAGTGTCATCCTCATAGTTTATACACAGTGCAAACCAATTTCTAAAAATCAGGGAAATGATATTTATCTGGTTGGCTGGTGTATTTCTACCAGTCCAGAGATCCCCAGCTCATTACATTTTGTTGCAAATGTTGACCCAATATGACAGAAGTAATAGACCATGATGAAATGAGATACATTTGTGAGCATAGAAATGAATTGCCTACAGTTTCTTTGAATGATAGAATATGGATTTGAGCTATTAGACCCACTTCCCTGCAAAAGTACAGAAGGCATTTCTTACAAATGAGGAACAGGAGTTTAATTCATCTGAACTCAGGAAATGTTTGAGCATCCAGAGAAAAGTCATGCCCTATCAAATAAGAGAATCTGGATACTGAGCACAACAAAGAAGCCTTGTTCAGCACCTGTGCCCAACCACAACTGACTTGGATACTCTCCTTGTCTCCAATTCTGCCTGTCCTCCAGCTCCACCCAGTTCTGAGGAAACTCAAGTTCAGAAACAGTGCTGGAGATGATGTATCCATGTGTGAACCAAGACGTGGCATGGCACGTTATGATATCCAGAATGTTGTGAATTTTCCTGCTGGATTGAGCTTGCTGGAGAAAATTGGAGAGTTTACCTATACCAGTTCACATGAGCAGGGGCTGCTCATCCATGAAGACCTGATAGAATGGCCTACTGCCTTCAAGGAGGTATGGTTCTGTTTGGATGTATGATACCTCCTGGGAGATCTGAATGGAGCTGTTTGAAAAAAAAATTGTGAGGTGAATACTGCTAGGTTCTGTTGTTGTAATTGAGAGAGGCTTAAAGAAGCAGCAATGGCCATGATGTCGTGCTGCAATGAATGCATAGAAAACATCTCCAATTAGGGCGAGAGGATTCAGTTGTGACCTTCAAGTGAAAATGAAATGTATGTTGTGAGAGTGAATACACTGACATGCTTTGGAGTGGCTGATAACGCAGCAAATCATGCCCACGGTTTCTCTTTCCCCTTCAGACTCCTCAGTCTGTGTGTAGCCAGAGCTGTGGTCCAGGATTCAGGATCTTGCCACAGGAAGGAAGACCCATCTGCTGCTACACCTGTGTGTTCTGTCCAGAGAGAGAAATGTCCAACCAGACAGGTAAAGTAGGTAGAAATTCCAATGCATATAGCTTTACTTTCCTAATCCTTTCTCCATGAAAGGAAAACAAAAGTGTTTTGCAAGCTATGTGGGTGTCAAATGCACCATAGCTTTCAATGCACAGATGCATTTGTTCATGCAATCTATCTGTTTAGATTCATTGTAGCCACTTGTGTATTTATCTGGCATTCCTTAGAGTAATGCCCTCCTCAGCACTCATTCAGAATGGTATCAGTGCCTGCCAGAAAAGAGTCCTCATCTGAATGATGCAGCTAGATAAATTGCATTCTAACTAAAACATGTCAGTGTCATAATCACCAGTTTTTCATGAGCACATAGAAACTTGATTAGAACATGTTTTGCATCCCAGTTCAGAAACATGTGGAATAGGTTCAGCTTGTGTGCATATCACATTTACATGAGGATGGATCAGAACTGTGTTTTAATTAATTGCCACACACCTAATGGCACTTTGAGTATATAGTAAAATCTTTTAAAGAACTGATATGCCTTTACTTGAAAAATAGAATTATTTCTCCATCAATAACTTGATGAATATCACAAATCATGCAGATTTCCTACAATTACATCTATATTCAAATCCAAATTTTGTTTATTCAGTAAACTAAAACACAGCATCACATAGAAAAATGATCAAAAGTTTTCCAAGAGAATGAAGATGCTAAATGAGTGTGCACATGTTCTGTGGTTTACCATATGAGAACTGAGAGCATTGGTTTTAATAAGACTGCCATAGTTGTTTGCCTCTGCTCACATCTGGGAGAGAAGTTTCTAAAGTTGATGTCTCTAGGCAACGCACAATGGTGACACAGGCCTTGACATGAAGGAGCCTGAAAGGATGGATGAGATGAAGGCTGGAAGAACCCATGTCCAAGGGGTCCTCATCAGGTCACAGAATGAGCCTACCTTAGCCCATGTCTGTTAAGATTTCTTTGAATGTGTTTGTTCCCATCAGCAGATGAGCACTCTGAGTGTCAGAAAGGTAGAAATAGGTTCAAGTGTGTCCTAGAACACAGCACAACTGATCCATATTTAAGGCACACTGCAGAGCTGACCCATTTTCACAACAGGGAATGATTCTGAATTTCCAAAATGGACACCCTGACTCTACCTCTTCCAATAGATGCAGAGCAGTGTTTCCGGTGCTCAGAGCAGGAGTACCCAAACTTGAACAGGACTCACTGCCTCCCCAAGCTGGTGACATTCCTGGACTTTGAGGATTCTCTGGGTACTGCTCTGGCCTGCATGGCTCTGACCCTCACTCTCCTCACTGTTATGGTGTTGGGGCTCTTTGTGAAGCACCGAGACACACCCATCGTCAAGGCCAATAACCGCAACCTCAGCTACATCCTGCTCATCTCACTCCTCCTCTGCTTCCTCTGCTCCTTCCTCTTCATTGGCCGTCCCAACACAGCCACCTGCCTCCTAAGACAAATCACATTTGCCCTGGTGTTCACAGTGGCTGTTTCTGCTGTGCTGGCCAAAACCATCACTGTGGTTCTGGCCTTCAAGGCCATGAAACCTGGAAGGACCATGAGGCGATTGCTGGTGTCAGGAGCCCCAAACGCTGTCATTCCCATCTGCTTCCTCATCCAACTGACTCTCTGTGCCATCTGGCTGGCAACATCTCCTCCCTTTGTGGACACAGATGCACACTCTGAGCATGGACACATCATCCTCTTGTGCAACGAGGGCTCCATCACTGCCTTCTACTGTGTGCTGGGCTTCCTGGGCTCATTGGCCCTGGGCACCTTCACTGTGGCTTTCCTTGCCAGGAAGCTGCCTGACACGTTCAATGAAGCCAAGTTCCTGACGTTCAGCATGCTGGTGTTCTGCAGTGTGTGGGTGACCTTCCTGCCTGTGTACCAGAGCACCAAGGGGAAGGTGATGGTGGCCGTGGAGGTCTTCTCCATCTTGGCCTCTGGTGCTGGGCTCCTGGGCTGCATCTTTGTCCCCAAGTGCTACATCATTCTCCTAAGACCTGAGAGGAATTGTTTGGAAGGTTTCAAGAAAAGAACATGCTCTAGGGGATTCTAATACATATTTTTTTCTTGTTCTGCTGTCATATTGTGAGACGTATGAGCCTACACGCATTATTGAACTTACATGCACACCATACATATTAATAAGTAAAATCATTTGCTTAAGAGATTGTATATACAGCATTTAGCGGAGTAATCTGAGTTAATGACATCATGTTTGGTCTCTGTTCCTGGTCTGTACTTCTGATGCCTTGGGTCCCTGGAAGGAAGTGCTGAAGGCTCATATGCCCTGGTTCTTATTTGCCCAGGTGAGGATACAAATTTTGCACCTTGTTGGTTGTAGTCACAACCCTGATGAGTCATTGGGATACATAGATGTGAGGTGTAGAGTAGAAGACATCTCTGTCTCTGCCAGTAGCTTTCTGTTGCCTCCATCTCAGAAGAAGTGATGAAGATTGGAAAAGCATTCATATTCAGTAAAAATAAGAGATGTGGTAAGTGGATATTGCCATGTGCCCATCAAGGCTACAACACTCATGTCATTTATAGCTACAATGAAGATGAAATATAAAGACTGAATTGCATTCTGTTCAGTTGTCCTGTGCAAATAATGTAATTGTTCATATTTTCTACGACGTCCAAGTCACACAGATTTTATATTTTGTACCTCTAGCTTGTTTCCTGCAAGTTATGTGTGATTTCTTTGCCAGTGACACGAGTCTGTTTGTGATGTAGTGTTACTCTGTGGGACACTGGACTGGCTAAAAGCATCTTAATAAATATTTATTATCAATCTTTGTTGGAATGTATTTATTCTTGTATAGGTTATCTTCAATCATATAGGACACTGATTCTACACTTGCATGTCCATGAGCCAATGCATTGCTTTATCTTCTGATTTTGCTTTAAATTTCTTCTTCCCACTTACTTGGGGATACAACTGTGTCTTGATGGATATCGAATACTCTAGCCATGATGAACCATTCCAAACTGGCTCATTCACAGTGCACATTTCCAATGGATAGAGTTTGGCCATTCAGCTTGCAACTTATCTAGAAAAACATTTCTATATATGGACAAAACTGATTATTATACCCTGATAAACTCTCTACAAATGATTTTTGCTTTGGTGTCCATGTTCTGGAACATCCTCTTTTTTTTAAATATATTTTTTTATTGAAAAGTCAGATACAGAGAGGAGAAGAGATAGACTGAAATGTGTTCTGTCTGCTGATTCACTCCCCAAGTGACCGCAACAGCTGGAGCTGAGCTGAAGCCAGGAGCCAGGAGCTTCTTTAGTTCTCATGCAAGGGTGCAGGTACACAAGGCTTTGGGCTGTCCTCGACTGATCTCCCAGACCACATGCAAGGAGCTGGATGGCAACTGGGACTGTTGGGATTAGAACCAGCATCCGCATGGTAAATCAGTGTATACAAGGCAAGGATTTAGCCGGTAGGCTGCCACACCTGGCCCTTGAGGACATCTTCTAAGCTACATTATAGAGTATTCCAACTAGATCCAACAGTCCCTCATTGTTTCCATGCACAGGATCAGAATGCCTCCCACTTGAGCACATGGCAATCACTGATAGAATGCTACAGCATCTTGCTTAGTGCACTCAACCCTCTTCTTGCCTGTTGGATCTTCACATTTGCATATATTCCTTCCACCTTCATCCACTTCCAAGGAAACTGACATACAAGCAGCACTGGAGAGCATGTATGTCAGGTGAAAGAAGAAAGCAGAAGGCTCAGTAAGATTCCCAGGGTGGGGCGAATTCTCCTGTGGTCTTGGGTTCCTTGTGAACCTTGGAGCATTTTCTTCCAAGGGTCCACCTGACTGTAGATAACCACTGTTTGGAGTATTGCTGAATGACTTGAAATGGTAGATAGTGTATGCAATTTTACTGAGCCCACAGGGACACAAATCCAGTGGTAGACCCTGCAGTGGATCCCTACCACTGACACCTTGCCCTGATGTCCTTGTGATCAGACCAACTGGGGCTTCTACAACTTTACATTGCTTCGTGTTTCCTTCAGCAACTCAGGGGATCGCTGTGAGCTGAGACTCTGAACCTGCCACTGATCATGAGGAGCAAAACGCCTCTAAAAACACCTGCTTTGTTTGGGTTCTCCTTCTTCTCGCACTGCAAGCTGGGACAGTAGCTCTGTCAACATTTGTACACTGGGTCCAGATGATAATATATATATATTTGAAAGGCTTAGAAGTTTTAGAAAGAGTTAGTTTTGGAATTTTAACACACACACACACACACACACTCAGTTTCAATATTGTATATGATTCTTTGTCAAGAAGATCAAGTGTCTATCATGGCAGGGGCAGCCCTCCAATCAATGGGGGGCGATGTAAACTCCCTCACTGACTGGGTGTGAAGTAACTGCAGGGGTTAGTGTGGCAGGAGCTCTGAGCAAGCTTTTCCACACAAGCCTGGTTGCCACCTGATGGAGGAGAATCCTAGCCATTCAGCCCAACAGGCATGGATTTGCCACTTGGATTTTTCTGTGGGTCACACAAGTGCCTGTCCCTAGGGGTAGTTTTCAGAGTTTAAAAAGTGAAATGAAAGTTCAGTTTTATTGGGTCAAGATGTATAAATCCATGCAATAAACTGTTCAAAATTCACCTGTCTTGACTAAATATACCTTATACTATGTGCTAAGCCCATAGTAATAGACATGTACATGTGGAATCCACACAGTTCTACATCTAAATGCAATTATCAACTCAAGGAAATTTAAAAAAAAATCACACGGGTTCGCTCTGTTTCTTCCTGGACGCTTACGTGACAATATAATTTTCATTTGACATCGTAAGGATCAGTGTGAGCAAATGCAAAGTTTCAATTTTCTGATTACAGTAATTAATAGAATGCGATGAATACCTTGTCTTCTGGGTCACATGTGCATTCTATGCTGGTAACTGGAGCTTGTATTCTTGCATGAGCACCATCTATAAGAACTGAGTTAGGCCGCAGTTAAAAGTTTAGCCCAAATAACATATGCCATTTCACATATTTAATTGACATTTTATTGCTCCTCTGCTTTCTGTCCTCCTTCCTCTTCATTGGTCTTCCCAACACAGCCACCTGCCTCCTCATAGAAATGTTCCTCTGTGGGGCAATACATTGGCCTAAAGCATCTAATTCAAGGGCTCCTGTCAAGCCCTTCTAGAACATGTTTATATCAGTGAGTGGATTGTCCATGTCTACAGGGCACTGGTTCCATAACTGTATGATCATCTGTTAATATATAACATTTTGGTTTTACCTTTGCTTTCAGGGTTGCACTTGGAGACAGGATGCTGTTTTGATTGATGTGAAAAATCTCTCTGTTCCGCACATCCTGATTTGGTACAGTTTTCTCACATACTTGGATAAGAATGTCTTCTATGTGGACTGAACACATTTCCACACCCTGTAAGCAAACGCCATACACTTTCCAACCCTCATGACCACAGATCCTACAGCCAACCCTCTCCTTCACTTTTTAAGTCTTAGCACAAGCACTTATTTAGCTTCTTCATGGAATTAAGGACAGCAGTAGATATTAGTTAAATTAGTTGAAGAAATCATGTGAAGTCTAGGCAATGGCAAATGGGTATATGGAAGAAGGAGCTCAGGTTATTTGCTTCATGCTCTAATATCTATTTTCTTTACAAAGTTATACTTGATAGATGTTATGTTCTTATACTCAATCCTTAGGAAAAAAAAATTGAAATTGGCATGGTTCCAAAAACATGATTATGAATTCTGGAAATGTTAAATTTTCAAATTCCTGAAGACTTAAATAACATTTCCTAAAGCAATTAAGTATCAAGCAACTCCTGTATAATCCGCACGTGGCCCAGAAAACAAGATGTAGCAACTCCATGTATAACGTATAATCAGAAATTGAAATTTGACTAAACACTGATACTTTTAGTATCAAAAGTACAGGCTTTTCGAAAAAGATTTACTTATTTTTGTTGGAAATACAGATACACTGATAGAATGAGAGACAGGGAGGCAGATCTTCCATCTGCTGTCTCACTCCCTACGTGGCTGCAATAGCTGGAGCTGAGCTGAGCTGAAGCCAGGAGCCAGGGGCTTTTTCTGGGTCTCCCACCTAGGTGCAGGTTGCTAACACTTGAGGCCATATTCAACTGCTTTCCCGGGCCACAAGCAGGGAAATGGATGACAAGTGGGGCTGCCGGGACATGAACCAGTGCTCATTTGAGATCCCTGCATGTGCAAGCAAGGACTTAAGCCACTAGGCTACCATACTCAGTCCCAAAATTTCATTCTCATAGAAGAGTTGAAACATAGATACAGCAAGCAGACACATGTTATGTATTTTTAAATTTTCCCTTGAGCTAATAATAACATGTAGATGTAGAGCAGTGTAGTTTCTGTATATACCTGATTATCACATTGGCCTTACCAGATATTTGAAGATATATTTCATCAGCACAGGTGAATTTCCAACAATTTATTGCATAGATTTGCATATTTTGACCCAATAAAGCTGAACTTTTATTACACTTTTGAAAACTACCCGTGCGATTATGCACTTGTGGACCCATGGCCTGTAGGACTGAAGTGGCTGAAGTGCTAGGATTGTCCTCCATAAGGTGGCAACCAGGCTTTTGTGGAAAAGCTTGTTCAAGCACCCTTCCACAGTGACCATTGCAACAAGTTTACATCCGGTCACTGTGGAATTTACATCACTCTGCATTGATTGGAGGGGTGCTCCTATATTTTTAATCCATGACCTTGAGAAAGCAACATGTGAAATAATAAGACGGACTGTGTGTGTTTAATTTCAACACTAATTCTCTACAACTTCCAAGCTTCTCAAACTGAATGTAACATTCTCTGGCACCTGTGTAAAAAGTTTACAGGGTTGCCATTCCAGTGCGTGCATGAGGGGAGGAAGAAGAGTCCAAAGCAGGTGTGTTTTTTTTTGTTTGTTTGTTTGTTTGTTTTCCCAGAGATGTTTTTCCTCACCTGGACAGTGGCAGGTGCACAGCCTCAGGGTAGGTTGATCCCCTGAGTTCCTG